GAAAGAAACACTTTGGAACAATAGGCCTCACTTTTATCTTGAAGCTCTGTGTATCCAGTGCAGTTCATTGATAAGATACTGCTGGAATTTCTGTACGTGTTTGAATGTCTGTCGTCAAAGAGAAATGGCAGATGTAGAGATTGTTGAACTACCAGTAGTAGAAAGCTTTGCTTTTCGGCAGTCTTGTATCTTATCATGCCAGGCATTATACTGTAGGGTTTTAAAATATTTCCTCTTGGTAGTGTGTGCTAGATGAACATATTTGCTCAAGAAAGATCACATAGTTTCTTTCGTTTTTACATTTTTGGTCCCATTTGCTATCAGGCTAACTAATGCAGCAGATTTTGTCATATTCAAAGAAAGTTGCTTTGTTTGAGAGCTTTTCTCTTAGTGCATTATAATGTATCAATCCAGCTTGTCTTTTAGTTCAATTGCAATATGCCTAAAAAAATCCCTAAAAGAATTTTCCTGTGTAATTTATGAAATGAGACGGGTTCCTTACACTTGTCTCACACTGCATAACTATGTCTCTGAAGGAGTGAAAATACATAGACTGAATGTCAATGTTTTGTGGATCATTGAGGGTAATATTTAGGGTTTATTAGTATCTATTATTAGACTCCGCTAGTGTTGTCAAAAAATTTATATTTCGATATGTATCCATACTGAAATATCTGAAACGGTTCCAATACTCATTTTCATCAGTATAGAAACACTGATACCAGCTCTGCGTTCTCACTCTTTCTTCTCTCTGACGGTGAACTGACACACACCCTCCTCCTGACACTCTTTTCTCCAGTTGAATAGTGCCTGTATTGCACATAATTTTAGCCATTATCGCAGGTTTCGCGCTCACAACAAAAGCGCATGCACTACTAATTTATATAAGCACATAAAGCCGCCTCTCAAACAGCTCGCGACGACTAAATTGACTTCTATTCATGGCTTATTGCACTTAAACTGTCGAATACACACACAATGATGTCAAAATGCCCGTCTTGCCAAGTATTCAGGTTAATACAGTCAGTTTTGGGACGTAAATAGTTGAGGAAAAGCATGTTGTGTATCAGTATATTGGATCCGTGCTTCAGCTCTTAAAGTGACAGCAGCCTCATTAACCTGCGTCTGTAACTTTAATTGTACGCATTAATCCGTATTTAATTTTTACAGTGAAGATTATCCAGTGTTATTTTACATTTTGACTGCTTTCCTTTCTGTAAAATTTCTTACTTTACTGTTAGTCCCACCTGAAAAATTATGGTCATGTTTATTTCATTTGTCTCTTTCCATTGTATTTATTTGTGCTATCGTTTGCAATTTGTTCTTATTTTATTACTGACTGTTTACTTGTCTGTAGTTAAACGATTAAAATTAAATCTCCATGTGCTAAATGTAAGTTATTGCAACAAAATTACCCAAATTATCAACAAATTATGAGATGACAAGAAATGATCTCTATGGCAGTTTTCCCCCATGGAATCGAAAATGGTATTCCGGTAAAACAATTTTTACTTCAGCTGATTCAGATAACGTCTTTCTGTTTGTCTCTGTTTCCGTCCTCTTGTCAGGTCTGTCTGGAGTGGTCACATTTCTTGTCTGCTTTGCTGTAGTGTTCAGTGGCTGTTTTGAGAGTTTGAGGGGCTGTTTGTCAGAAGGGTCCCTCCTCTGATCAGCCACTCATGCTTCTGCACACGAGCAGTGTGTGTTTAGTGTGAGTCTCGCCGCAGGCACACCGCTCTAGAGATCACAGCTGTGCTCAATCCTGGAGGAAGGAACGTGTGCTTTAGTTAGTGCTGTTTTCTAAGTAATCTTCACAAGTAATCTAACATTTTCAAAGCAATCTTTCTAGTAATCTTCACAAATACTATTGATCACAGACAGGAGAGGTGTGCGGTTATTTTTCTGAGCTAGAAGGCCCTCGAGTTAAGAAAACCCTTAGTGATGATATCCTCACAACTTTAACTAAGAGGTTTCTTAACTTAAAGTCCCCGTGAACCGGAAGTTGCAAACTACTTTTCTCCAGTGTTGTGACGTATTTCCGAGAGAAACGGAATACTAAATGAGGCAAAATAGTGGGCGTGGCTTTTTTTCCCCAACTAGCACCTGATTGGATCTAGAAAAGTAGGTGTTGTCATTCAGCCTGTCTACTGTCAGTTGGAGGGGCGTGATTACGGATGTTAAGCAGACGCCCAAACCGTCAAACCCACGTCATCAGGGAAGGTCCTCCAATGCAGAGGGGAGGGGAAATTTCAGATTTTGATTAAAGATTACGAAGCCAAAAATTTTTTTTGTGTGGATTGACTTGACCACAAAACGATCAATTTATGCAAACAAAGTAAGTATGGTCAATTTGAACCTCGGGTGTAATAACACATTGGTACAGACTAAATCGTTCCCTGAGATTTGTTTTCATGATAATCGAATGTAAAGAGTTTTATCTCTAAAAACAGTTTAGCTTATAACGCTAGTATATTGGGCATCGAGTAAGCAAAAAGAGATCGCTAGTTAATACCACTAACAAGGCTCAAATTAGCCCCACACTAACACGGCAGCATAATGAGGGTCCTTACATGCAAACCGAAGCATTGAGAACTTTGTAAGTGTCCAGACAGTTTAATAAGAAGATACTTTACACAGACAGTACAGTTAGCGCATACAGACAGCAGCCATCTTGGAAAACAGTCTCGACCAATCGAACCACGAGGGTGAGCGAACAGTACGTGTAGATATTGAAGATAAGATAAATTATATTTATTTTTTTATTTTCTCTGTTGCGTTCAGTGCTTCTCTTATGCGCTCAGTGCTTTCTTCCGGAAACAACGGACCATATGAGATTCCAAGTCACAGTTCAGCTCACGTATCACCGTGTTCGTGGTTTGACTGATCGAGACTGTTTTCCAAGATGGCTGCTGTCTGTATGCGCTAACTGTACTGTCTGTGTAAAGTATCTTCTTATTAAACTGTCTATACACTTACAAAGTTCTCAATGCTTCGGTTTGCATGTAAGGACACTCATTATGCTGCCGTGTTAGTGTGGGGCTAATTTGAGCCTTGTTAATGGTATTAACTAGCGATCTCTTTTTGCTTACACTATGCCCAATATACTAGCGTTTCAAGCTAAACTGTTTTTAGAGATATAACTCTTTACATTCGATTATCATGAAAACAAATCTCAGGGAACGATTTAGTCTGTACCAATGTGTTATTACACCCGAGGTTCATTTTGCACCGGAGTTCTCCTTTAAGTAGAAAGTGACTTGGGGAGGGGGATATTTCAAACCATAGTGTACTGGAAGTGCGCGCACATAAAGCCGCCTCTCAAACAGATCACGAGTGCCAAATTTAGTTTTTTTGTGCTTAACTGGCCAAATACACTAGCCTGGTTAAAACCAGAGCATTCTCAGTTGTAACTGAGTTATGGTCTGGCAAAGCGTCATAGAGAAATCATTTCCAGAGGGGCGTCACCACCGGATGTCGCGGATAGACCTAAACCCAATCAGAGCGATGAAGGAGATGACGTATGCAGAGCGGCGGAGACACATCTCCGAGTGTTGTTCTTTGCTCGGTTTTTAACAAAAAGGAAACGTTCAAATGGCTTAAAACAGACGCGATAGCTGATTGGAACGAGTGATGTTCGACGGCGGCATCCATCTTTGTAATGTAGGCTACAAAATCTGCTTCAAAATCCCAGCGCTGTCGTCATCGTGTAAAGCCCGCCCCAACGCTTCTGATTGGTGCCTCGATTTCGACGGACTGGAAATGGGCTTGAATGAGCTCTTTGCCAGACTAACTTTCAGAGCAAATCTAAATTTGACGGAAGTTGTCTGGGTTTTCCAAGGCTACAAATACACACCAAATGATGTCTAACTCCCCGTCTTGGCGACTATGCACCTAAGCACAGTGGTTATCTCTATGTCTTAAGCGAGTTGGGAAAGCAGATACATGTGTATCAGTATATTGGATTTGTGCATTCACTCTTAAAGTGACAGCAGCCTAATAAACCTGCTGTCGCGTCTGTGTCATTAATGTTAATCAAACAACAAAAGACAGAGAAAATCACTCTCTGCTTTTGACTGAATAACTTTTGTAACTTTAATTGTAAGCATTCATCTGTATTTCATTTATACAATTAAGACTATACGGTGTTATTTTACATTTGATGACTTTGTTCAGTCTCTGTAGTATTTCTTACCTGATACTGTTAGACCCACCTGAGAAACTTAAAGCACTGTTGTTTATTTCATTTGTCTCTTTATTCTATTTTATTTACTTGTGCTATCATTTGTAACTTGTTTATTTTTGTTATTTTATTACTAACTGTTTACTTATTTGTAAATTCATTTCGAAGCCTCCTTGTGCTGTATGTAAGCAACAAAATCACCCCATTGTAAAAACACAAATACATTGAGTTAGAAAACATTTAGGAGACATCATTTAATAAAGAAAATCATGACCATATTTTGCTAAACATTTTGTTAAACTACAATTTTACACTCAACATTAACAATTTATCATTATTTAGAAATATTAAAATAAATGACCATACAAACATGAAAAAAATGCAGATATATTCGTCACATAATATTTAAAAAAAAACTCAGAAGTTTATGGCTAATAAACTAATTCATTTAAACTTGCCAAACAGCAGATTTTTTTGTTTAGTGGACTTAAAATAGTGCTGACTCAAATAGATAAAGACAGCAGGAAATATATTTTAACTTCTGTTGACTCTTGTTTAAAGTGTTTCCTATCCGAAGCTCTCTCCACTCTTAGCAGAAGTGAATGCTGTGACCTTCAGGACTTTCATAGTAACGCTATCATTCATATCGTTCATGAGCTCTCTCGTTATCATACTACAAAGACAGAAGTGGTTCATCTCTGCACGTCACTGTAATTGAATATTATATTTGCAGACGTGCAAGACAAAGGTTGCATGTCATTGAATATACTTTGTGACATTGTTAAACAGCATGTAAACTCGTGGCCTGTGTTGTTTTCAGGCAGGAGATCATGAAGTGGAATGGCTGGGGTTACAGTGACTCCAGGTTCCTGTTTAATAAAAAGGGCCAAGCAGAGTTCACAGGCAAACGGTGAGTACGATGCACCAAACAAATACCCATTAGACTCAGATATTTTCTTCATCTGTTCTGGGGACAATATGCAGAATTGTTCAGAGTGGATATCAACATGATATAGATGTGGTAAGCAGAGCTGAGTGCACTACAATCCCACAAATAGACCGTTCTGTCATCCTTTACTCACCTTGATGTCTGTATGACTTTCTTTTTGCTGAGGAATACAGGAGAATATAGTCAGTAAGTTAATTGTTAATGTATTTAATTTTGTTAATTCAGTTTAAAGTTTGATGAGATTGATACGGTAAAACCAACCCCATCGTTCCTGTTTGTGTCTCTGCATATCAAGTGTATTTTGTTTCCAACAAGCGCTGCAAGCGGTCAACCAATCACAACAGACTGGGCCATCTGACCAATCAGAGCAGAGTAGACCAATCACAACAGACTGGGTCATCTGACCAATCAGAGCAGAGTAGACCAATCACAACAGACTGGGTCATCTGACCAATCAGAGCAGAGTAGACCAATCACAACAGACTGGGCCATCTGACCAATCAGAGCAGAGTAGACCAATCACAACAGACTGGGCCATCTGACCAATCAGAGCAGAGTAGACCAATCACAACAGACTGGGTCATCTGACCAATCAGAGCAGAGTAGACCAATCACAACAGACTGGGTCGTCTGACCAATCAGAGCAGAGTAGACCAATCACAGCAGACTGGGCCATCTGACCAATCAGAGCAGAGTAGACCAATCACAACAGACTGGGCCATCTGACCAATCAGAGCAGAGTAGACCAATCACAACAGACTGGGCCATCTGACCAATCAGAGCAGAGTAGACCAATCACAACAGACTGGGCCATCTGACCAATCAGAGCAGAGTAGACCAATCACAACAGACTGGGTCATCTGACCAATCAGAGCAGAGTGGACCAATCACAACAGACTGGGCCATCTGACCAATCAGAGCAGAGTAGACCAATCACAACAGACTGGGCCATCTGACCAATCAGAGCAGAGTAGACCAATCACAACAGACTGGGTCGTCTGACCAATCAGAGCAGAGTAGACCAATCACAACAGACTGGGCCATCTGACCAAGCAGAGCAGAGTAGACCAATCACAACAGACTGGGTCGTCTGACCAATCAGAGCAGAGTAGACCAATCACAACAGACTGGGCCATCTGACCAATCAGAGCAGAGTAGACCAATCACAACAGACTGGGTCATCTGACCAATCAGAGCAGAGTAGACTCTCAGAAAGGAGGGGTTTAGAGAGACTGAATCCTTTGTTGAACCATTTCAGACACTGGATGGATATTATGAGAAAATTACATATTTTTTGGGATGCATGTAAACCTATTGTAGAAGACTCCAAAACAAAATTAGGAACCTTTAATGTAGCATAATGGGTCACTTTAAACTATTATTTTCTGTATTGTTACACGTGCACGTGATTTGTCTAGCTATGTGATGTGGATTTTGTGCATTGTTGTGTTTTGAAACGTGTCATTGGGTCTCATTCATGAAACATTCGTAAATATGCAAGTGATTTGTACGTAAAGAGACCTTCCCGAAAACTCATCTCCTGATTCACAAATACTTCGTAAACGTCAGATGTGATAGTGAAGTGTGTGTTTGTGTTAATGAATTCCAATCAGTCGTAAATGGGACGCGCGTGCACGCTCATTCTCAATTACCATAAATCCCGCCCATTAAATCCGACTGACAACTATATATGGGCATCATATTATGACATGAATGCGAATGAAAAAAAAATTTCTCAGATGCAGAAATTGAAGTTTTATTATCAGAAGTTCATTCAAAACGCCACATTTATTTTCAAGCGTACATAGTGGCGTATCGGGTCCTAAAAAAAAGCAAGCTTGGCAGCATTACAGATGCAGTTACTGAAGTTTCAGAAGTGAGAAGAAAATGGTTCGACATTAAGCTTGAGAGCAAAAAACGAATTAGTTCACTTCGGAAAAATAGTATTCAAACTGGAGAAGGACCACCATCGCAGATGCTTTTACTGGCTCTCATAATAAGAAAAACCGTATGTAATTACTATATATAATATTTTTTCAAAATGCTGTGCAAATATGTACCCGATTAAGGTGAATTAAAATGCAGCCTTATTAATGAGCAAAACGTTCGGGTGTTAAGCGCACTATTTGAGCGTGGCTGGGAGCAGGTGGAGATTTCTTGCGTACCAACTAACATTTGGAAAATACGAACATTTTAATGAATCCGAAAATTTACGCCAGAACCGCTTTACACACGATTTACACAAAAATTCGTTCTGCTCGTGTTTCATGAATGAGACCCATTGTGTTTTCCAAGCATTGCTATAGTGCACTCGAGTTCCACGCAGTGTTGTGGCTTTCATGAGACGGGTCTGGACAGAGATGTTTAATGTTTACCACAGTCTCAAGGACCTACACACACACACACACATGCACACACACAGACACCACACACTGTGTAATCGTACAGACAGAGCGGCGCTGCTTCAACACACACACACACACACACACACACAGATGATGTGCTCTCACTGCCATATGCTTCCATCACACAGAAATATCATTCAAAGAACTTGTCTATAGATTGAAACGGTTATCCACATCTAATAGCACATGCAGAGAAAATCTTCAGAATGATTTCCAGAAGCAGTTTTTCATCATTACTCCAGTCAGTCACACGATCCTTCAGAAATCACTCTAATATGAGGATCTGGTGATCAATTATTATTGGTACTTAGTGGTATTGGTAACACACATTGTGTAGGAGCTTCGGCTGTTCAGTTTTGTGCTAGTCGAGTGTGATGAGCTCATGCCATCTAGTGGCTGCAACACTGAACACAAGAGCATATCTGACAGAAGAAGCTTAGAGACCACCGTTTAAAAGATTGATTGATTTCCATAGTTTTGAGTAAATAATTGTGTACAATTTAATTACGAAGAAAAAATATTAAAGGAAAACATTCAATAGATTAGATTTTTATTAAAGTGTAAAAATTCCTATAATAACAGTAAAGTTGACATGAACGTCATTATTTACCCACACATTACATGTTTTGTATAGACTTGCATGGGAAATACAGATTTAGAGCAGTGTGTGTGTGTATTTCAGGAAGCGGTACAGGGATGGAAATTAGCACCCGCCACCAGCCAAATGCGGGTGATTTTGTGTTGTGGCGGGTAAACTCGCTTCACCTACCGGCCACCGTGGCGGGTAAATAAAAATAGCATACTGTTTCACCCGGACGGCGGACACTTTTAGAGGAGGCACACCTTCAAACAAAAATGTGGCGTTACATCGCAGGCGTAGAGGTCTGCAGAGAAAACATCATGGTGCGTTCACACCAGACGAGAATAGAGCGTCTGGCGCGAGTGATTTCAATGTTAAGTCAATGCAAAGACGCGTTACGTGCGTAAAAAATTCCTGCGGCGCGAATGAGGTGTATATGGCGTTCCGATAGGCTCAAATATGTAACTTTGTAGCACGCACTCGTCTCAATGAACGTGACGTCTGCGTCTGCCGAACGTGACGTCTGCGTCTGCAGAACGTCTCGTCTGCGTCTGCCACATCACTCGTTCGTGTGCCGAACGTGACGTCTGCGTCTGCCGAACGTCTCGTCTGCGTCTGCCACATCACTCGTTCGTGTGCCGAACGTGACGTCTGCGTCTGCCGAACGTCTCGTCTGCGTCTGCCACATCACTCGTTCGTGTGCCGAACGTGACGTCTGCGTCTGCCGAACGTCTCGTCTGCGTCTGCCACATCACTCGTTCGTGTGCCGAACGTGACGTCTGCGTCTGCCGAACGTCTCGTCTGCGTCTGCCACATCACTCGTTCGTGTGCAGAACGTCACGTCTGCGTCAAGGGGGTTTCCATGGCTGCGTTTCCCAAAAGCATTGTAAGCCTAAGTTGATCGTAAAAACGATCGCGACTGATCTTAATATTATGGTCTGTTTCCCAAAAGCATCGTAACTTAAGTAGCACTTGAAAATCTTCGTAGAACTACGAGTGCTCTGGAGTAATCGTAAATCCCCAAGTTCATCGTAAGAAGACAGAGTTATGAGATCACCTGTAGGACAACCGGCAGATTACACTTTTATCTAGATTTAACAGACTACACTACGTGAGTATAATATACTATAATAAATATGTTTTGATTGTACTTTATTGTACACTTTGTTGTACTCGTGTTTTGTTTAAATTAATATAGGAAATAATTAAAAAGAGAAGAAAAATAGAAATACACATCTAAATTAAACGAATGAACAAAAAAATCATAAAATAAGAAATCTGGGAAATATGCTTTAAAGACTGGGCAAAATAGGGATGAATTCAAAAAATTCTGTCAACGACTTGCTGACGTGCACGAAAACCAGCCATGTATTGGGCATTTCTTGCGGACCTCCTTCCCTGATCTTTGAACACGGTTGCAGTTAGTTTGCAATGTCCTCCCAGATGTTTTGTTTTTCCTTATTTGTATCCTTTAAATCTGTTAAAAATAAAACCCCTCTATATATCTTATCTAAAAGGACATTAATTTGATCTTTTTGAAAGGTATCTTCTCTTGTTTTTTTGTTTTTGTTCAGCCATTTTGTCAGCCTGTAGGCCCTATTGGTGCTTTATATAGACTTGTCTTGATTTAATCCACAACAAATGACGGTTATTAGGTTAAACGTTCAGAATACGATTCCATATAAGGTTATATTTCAGCACTTCGCGAATGGACAGCGATGCTTAAGTAGCACGTAGAACGCGTTCTCGCGCTTTCATGTTAAGTGCATTTTTGGGAAACGCGCGTGGAATTGCGGCGAGCGTTCGTAACCTTGCACGTAGAGAGCGCTCTTAAGAGCTAAGATACATCGTTATCGGGAAACCCGGCCCAGCACATTCCACACACTTATTCGTTCTTTATTATTTTCCCCCACCGATCTTCAATTCTAGCAATGAAGTGCACATTACCTTGCTTATACATAGCTTTTTATAATATAGTTAGTAGGCTAAATATTAATTTACACAAATTATCATGTTAAAATTTGTGTTTGCCATTTTTTCTTGTCAACATGTCCACATAGCCTATAGCCTACTTAATCATAAAAACATTAACCATAAAAACTAAAAAGCATGTAGGCCTATGTACTATTCACCACTAGGAGTCTCGTGACCAACACAAAATAACTTAGCCTAGTTGTAAACATTTGGGCTGATTTAACTAACAAAATAAAATGTGTTATTTGTAATGTTTAATTTTAAAGTTGTAATATTTGGTTTTTAGAGTTTCACCGAAGTTTGATTGACGCCTACTGCAGCAAGATTTCTGCGTGCGCTTGCCCATTAATTAATATAAGAAAAATCTTTAGTCTATGGCTACTCTAATCAATACATTTATTTTACATTATTTACTTATTTATTGGATATTAGTAATTAGTATCCAGTTATTTAGATTACATTAGTTGAGTTAACATGCAGCTAATTAGTAAATGAACGAATAAAATAATAAAATAAAGATTACATTAAGATGCTATGCTAACCACATATTTCTAGCATTGCTTGTTCCTACACGAAAAGGATTGTATTGTATCTTCTGTTATAAAGATGATTGACATTTCGTTAATTAAAAATAATAAGCACAAAATATATAGTAAAAATATTAAATGTAATGTTCTTTATGCCTTTTGACTAGGCTACTTTTTGTATTTTGTATAATTATATCTCTATGTAATGAAGATAGCCTATTAACAAAAAAATATTATTAATATTTTTATTATATATATAGGCTAATATAAAACTTTTGTATTCAATTATAGGCTATGGAACATTTGGAATAAAAATACGCTGAAAACCCAAACAATAGCATGTGACAAACGAAACACGTCTTGTTTATTATGCTGCTGCTACAAAAACTGAATAGGCTAAATAAATAAATAAATAAACAAACAAACGACGTCCAATAGGACATAGCCTAAACTGTTTTGTGTTCATAGCCTTGAGTTTGCAGATTGTAGTAGCCTATTATTTAGGATATCCGACATTATGTTTTTGTAACCATTTTAGTAGCCTATAGCCTAATAGTTTTATATAGGCCTATTTATAAAAAATATTATTTTTTAATTCTATTCTTCTATTTAAAGGATCTACAGAAACAGTGGTTGTGCGATCGAGTTGTCTGTTTTCTAGTTTACCAAAGTGCTGGCCTTTTAAAATTATATATATAAAAAAAATCCTATATATAAATCACAGACGCAGACGTGACGTTATAAGACAGACGCAAGTGTCAGGTTCATTGAGACGAGTGCATGTTGCAAAGTCATATTAAAGAACCGATCGCAACCGCTGGCACACTGCACTGAGCTGTGCTGAGTAGAGTGTTAAACCCGTGTTAGAGAAAAAAACAATTTATAACTTCACTGCTACACGTGAATGACACGTAAACGTCTGACAATACACTTCACTGCCACACGTGATTTACGTGACGTCTGCGTGACGTCTGCGTCACGTCTGCGTCTTAAATTGAATGGAATAAATAGCAGAATAAAAAAAAATTAAGACGTTGAGTGAGACGTTCATTGTAACGAGTGCATGTTGCAAAGTTATATTAAAGAGCCGATCGGAACGCCATAGGTGTAGAGCGCACCGTGGTAGATGCGAATACGCCTCATTCGCGCGGCAAGTTCGAGCGTCTGACGCGTTCCGCGCGCATGATTTTATTGAGTGCTTTTGTGCATTCACGCGTTTGACGCGAATTCGCGTCTGCCGCCCGAGTTGAAAAATCTGAACTTTAGCGTCAATTCGCGCCACGTTAACCAATCAGGAGCCTAGCTGCTGTCACGTGGTGAAGTATCTGGATGCTTCAATAAATTATTTTGTACTAAATGCCTGATGTGGTTCTAATGCACAACAAAGCAAATATTTTATCACATAAAACTTGATTTCAATATATGAGACATACTCATTTTGTATTGAATGCTATTTATTCCATTTCATATCTAGATTATATTAAATATTATTCTAATGTAAAGGCAACCAACATACTATAGCTCATAAATCCGTGTCTGCAGAGTGTTGTGTGAGAGAGAAAAAAATCACAGGACAGGTTAATTACTTTTGGAGGCTGGCTCAAATTATCATCAAAACAAAAATAAATGACAGATTAGGTGGATGAGGCCGAGGGTGAGAGAAAGAGAAAATGTCAGTATTTCATTGAGACTTGAGATTAAATGAACTGCTTAAGTATTCTTGTAGTATTAATTTTCACATGCAGTTACACATTGTCGGTTAAAAACAAGAAAGTGGCTGGTAAAAACATTGAGTGGCTGGTAGATTTTGAAATCCACCAGCCACAGTGGCCGGTGGACAAAAAAGTTAATTTCCATCCCTGAAGCGGTACAGTGTCTGTGTGCAGTAGACTGACTCCTGGAAGTGTGTGTGTGTGTGTTGGTTTCAGGAAGCGGTACAGTGTCTGTGTGCAGTAGACTGACTCCTGGAAGTGTGTGTGTGTGTGTTGGTTTCAGGAAGCGGTACAGTGTCTGTGTGCAGTAGACTGACTCCTGGAAGTGTGTGTGTGTGTGTTGGTTTCAGGAAGCGGTACAGTGTCTGTGTGCAGTAGACTGACTCCTGGAAGTGTGTGTGTGTGTGTTGGTTTCAGGAAGCGGTACAGTGTCTGTGTGCAGTAGACTGACTCCTGGAAGTGTGTGTGTGTGTGTTGGTTTCAGGAAGCGGTACAGTGTCTGTGTGCAGTAGACTGACTCCTGGAAGTGTGTGTGTGTGTGTGTTGGTTTCAGGTACCGTTTGAGTGGGCTGATCTTGCCGAGTCTGAAGGACTGGTTCGAGGGCACGTTTGGAGCCAGTTTACTGCATAAATCTCCTGCCACAGTAAGTCGAGTGTGTGTCAGACAGCTGTGTGTCAGACTGTGATTGTGTGTGTAATATGATGTGTGTGTGTGTTCCTCTAGCCCACTCTGAATTTAAGCGCAGTCGCTCCTCCTAAGCTGAGCGAGCCCTTCATGGAGGATCTGAAAGCGGCGAGTGTGTCCGCGTCACATGACCCGGAGGACCGGGTTTTCCGAGCGCATGGTAAAGAACTTTGTGTTCGGCAGAGAGAAGTTTTATCAATTTTCCAAGCACGCATATGAATTTTGTCATGTATTCCCTCATATTTCACCATGGGAAATTTGTTTCATACAGAAATTCAACTTATTTTAATATACATTTCTTATTGAAATGTGATGATGCTAAAAATTATTATGGTCCTAAAAAAGGTTTTATTTATGCAAGCTAGAATTATTTTATGATTTCAGTTTTGGTTTTCTTTTGATTTAGTGGTGAAATAAATTCATTCTTTCTTTCTTTATCACAAAATCTGAGTATTGTGGTAGAATTGCTGAAGCTAAAATAAATAAATATAAATGTGAAGGATATGTTTTTTTTTCTTTTAATTGAATCAAAACACTATAATATTTTATCATTTAATATATAAATCATTGTACAGAAGTCTAAAGCTATATTTATTTGATCAAAAATACAGTTGAAATACTATAACCATAAAGTAACTGTTTAAATGATATGTTTTCTAAAGTAACTAATATGATGATTTGATGCTCAAGAAACATTTCTGATTATTATCAATGTTGAAAACAGTCGTGCTGCTTCATATTTGTGTGGAAAAAAACACAATTTGTTTGTTTTTAGCAACATATAAATAAATGTTACTGTAAGTTTTGATCACTTTAATAAATCCTTGCTCAATAAAAGTAGGAATTTCTTAAAATAATCATACTTGCTTTATTGAGAGGTTAGAGCATTAGCTATATAAAGTCATGTGTTCATATCACACACAAGATTCAGATTGAGTTTATTTAGGTTCAGTTACTGGATGTTTGTATTGGGTGTACAGTAGCACATATGAAAGCGCTATATTAATGATGTGTGTGTGTTTGTGGCGTCTCTCTCTTCCTCAGGTCACTGCCTGCATGAGATCTTCGCCCTGCGCGAGGGGAGGATCGGACGCGTGCCCGACATGGTGGTTTGGCCCAGTGAGTGACAGCCTCAGTTTGCTCATTAATATTCATGAGAAGCTGCTTTCATTAGAGGGACAGGGGGGCGTTCTCCATCCACTGAGACTCCGGCTGCTCTCTGATTGGTGGATTCCTGACAGCACCCATTCAGCACGTCTGATTAACGGCCGAGCTTTGATTAGGAGAAAGCCCAAGCGGCCAGCAAATCACGTCCTCCCTCTCGGAGAGTTCACCCGTCCCATCATCCCGCTGTCCCGTCACCCGCGCTGTCTCCTTCAGAAGATCCTCCTTTTCATAATCTTGAGGAAAAGTCACTTTCTCGGCCTCTGAAATGAGCCGTGTTCCCCGTCCAATCAGATCCCATGGGATATAATCACATCCGGTTTACATCACAGTAACTGAAGTCTAAACTATAGGATCTTGAGACATTATTATTGTTATGCGATTAATCGCATCCAAAATAAAAGTTTGTGTTTACATAATATATGTGTGTGTGTGTGTGTACTGGGTATAATTATTTTGTGTATATAAATACACAGACATGCATGCATATATTTATGAAATATTTGCATGTGTATATACTGTATATATATTTATATATAATTTATATTACATATAAATATTAGTACTTTATATGTGTATATAAATATATATATATATATGTATATATATGTATATATATATATATGTATATGTATATATATGTATATGTATATGTATATATATAAATCATAAATCTATACATGCGTGTGTGTATTTATATACACAAAATAATTATACCCAGTACACACACACACACACACACATATTATGTAAACACAAACTTTTATTTTGGATGCGATTAATCGTTTCACAGCACTAATATAAAGACATTTAGAATATTACAAAAGATTTATATTTAACTTTCTTTTGAACTTTTTATTCATCAAATAATCCTGAAATTAATTTCTTAATTTCTGACTAAATGAAGCAGGCTTGGTGAGCAGAAGAGACTTCTTTAAAAAACATTTTTATTTTTTAGTCTCCCCGACACCAAACCTTTGAGCAGTGCTTTGCATGCAAGGCTTGTGTGTTATGACTGATATGGAGGTGTGTGTGTGTGTGTGTGTGTTTGGTTCTGTCAGGCTGTCACAGTGATGTGGAGAAGATCGTGGATCTGGCCTGTAAACACGACGTCTGCTTGATACCCTACGGAGGCGAGTACCTTCACAAGTTATGCATAATTACACGCAATTAACCATAACCCAGTTATATTAACTTAATAGTATAAATGTATAATTATAGTTTGACAAAGACACCTTAAAAGAAAAGTGTAAAGCAAGTGTATTTTGGTTTTCAAATAATTGTTCTTTTGAACTTTCTATTTGTCAAATAATTCTGGAAAACATGTTTTGTGGAAATTATTCTTCCACACAAATCTGGAGCAGCAATATTAATGTTTTCAACACTGATAATAATCCTAAATGTTTCTTGAGCATCATATCATATTTCTGTGGGATCATGTGACACTGAAGACTGGAGTAATGATGCTGAACATTCAGCTTTGATCACAGGAATAAATTACACTTCACTATATATTCACATAGAAAACGGTGATTTTATATTGTAATAATATTTCACTATTTTACTGTGTTCTTGATCATATAAATGCAAATCCTCAGTGGAAAAAACCCCGTTTGAATAGAAGTGTAGTTCATGTAATAATTTCTAACCAAGTATTCAGAACATGAACCTAAATCAATTACATACTTATTTTTTTAATTATTCCTTCAATTGTTCTTAGTTGTCTAAAAGTGATGTGCAATATATGTGACAGACAATTAGTGATTAACAGGATACAATTTTTACAAAATATAGTTGCATCTAATTTACTTATTTATTCCGATTTTATTTCAATCCTTGTGGTTTTCTTATTTAAACATTTTATATCTGCACATATATTTCTAATCGTAAAATGTTGTTAAATTGCGTGTGTAGTTTTTAGATTTCGGAGGAGAACAGAGACTATTAAGAGAATATTAAACCTCTCTCTCTCTCTCTCTCTCTCTCTCTCTCTCTCTCTCTCTCTCTCTCTCTCTCTCTCTCTCTCTCTCTCTCTCTCTCTCTCTCTCTCTCTCTCTCTCTCTCTCTCTCTCTCTCTCTCTCTCTCTCTCTCTCTCTTCTCTCTTCTCTCTCTCTCTCTCTCTCTCTTCTCTCTCTCTCTCTCTCTCTCTCTCTCTCTCTCTCTCTCTCTCTCTCTCTCTCTCTCTCTCTCTCTCTCTCTCTTCTCTCTCTCTCTCCCCCTCCCTCTCTGTCTTTTTCTTTCTCTGACACACACACACACACACACGCTCTCTCCCCCTCCTCTCTGTCTTTTTCTTTCTCTGACACACACACACACACACACGCTCTCTCTTTCACTCACTCACACTCTCTCTCTCTCTCACACACTCCCTCTCACACACTCTCTCTCTCTCCCTCTCACACACACACTCCCTCTCTCTCTCTCTCCCTCCCTCTCTCTCTCCGTCCCACTCTGTCTCTCTCTCTCTCTCTCTCTCTCTCCCTCCCTCCCTCCCTCCCTCTCTCCCTC